GTGCTGTGCAGGGCGGGCGGGGCGTCGGGAGCCTCTGCGCAGGCCCAGCATCCCTGCAAGTTGGTGGCATCCTGGAATCAGAGAGAGAACCAGCCTCTCCGGGGGCGAGCCCAGAAGCCAGCCAGACCCAGCCTGGCAGTGGGTTTGTCTTGGCTGAGCCGGCTGGCACCCAGTGTTGGTTGTGGGGTCTGTGCGGCCAGGCCTCGCGGGACGAGGTGCCCTGGGATGGGCGCCCTGGCACCGGCAGCTGCTGGCGAGGCCTCACCAGGCTCGGTTGGAGGAGCTATTCCCAGAAGACGGGCTTCCAAATCCCATTTTGCCATCCAGAGCCCAGCCCCGAGGCCAGTGCTGCTATTTCAGTGTCTTCTCTCAGCCCCGCAGATTCCCAGCTGCCGTGTCTGAGCCCGGCCGCACGCCCTGCATGTTCCTCCCAGCAGGCCTGGAGTCAGGCGCCCCGCTTTGCTCTGCCTCGCCTGTGCCCACGCGTTCGGTTGGCAGACCTGGACTCAGGGAGGGGATGAGTGTCAGGACAGCCAGGCCCGGGCCGGAGCTCAGCATCCACAGAAGCCTGTGATGGGCCTAGCGGCCGCCCTTGGAGACACCACCTATCAACAGCCTGGCCCCATGTCAGCGTGGCCTGGCCACAGGCTGCCAGTCACCCCCAGGTCCACCGGCTGTGACCAGGGATGCAGAGCTGCTGCGGCCTGGAATCTGGTCTTCTGGACCCTCCCTCCCTGCAGGGCTGAGCCCAGTCTCCCAGGTGGTTCCGGCCATGAGGCCTGGAAGCCACACTGTAGCCCCGGCCGGGCAGGAAGAGCAGAGCGCGGTGCGGCCCTGCCAGGGTCCGACCTGCCCTACCCGATCACCGTGGCCTTGGTGTCGTGGTTTGTAAAATAGGCTCTTTCCAGGCCTCTATCAAGAATAACAGGAGCAAAACTGTTAGACAGTTGGCTTTTGTGTGTTGCGTAACTTGGCTGCAAACCAAACTAATTTTTACAAGTTTGTGACCTAAACCTCAAATCATGTAGTAATTTGCCTGTTTATGTTTGCTGCAAAGCTATACTATGAACTAAAAAAAATCATTTTATTTTTTTAATATATATTTTTATTGATTTCAGAGAGGAAAGGAGAGGGAGAGGGAGAGAGAAACATCAATGATGAGAATCATTCATTGATCGGCTGCCTCCTGCACTGGGGATCGAGCCAGCATCCCGGGCATGTGCTCTGACCAGGAATCAACCTATGACCTCCTGGTTCATAGATCGATGCCCAACCACTTAGCCACCCCAGCCAGGTTGTTCCCTGTTGCTCCTCTGCAACTGTGAGAAATGCCTGGGCAGACCTGCTGAGGGAACAAGTGACACGTGGAAGACAGCCAAATCATCCTAGTCCAGCCAGACCACGGCCAAGTCACATCAGACATGTGCCTGTAGATGCAAGAGCCAGAGCAGTTGCACATGGCACAAACTAGCAGGGACACCCACCCACCGGCACTCATGAGAATGGATGGTGGTTGCTTTAAGCCTCCAAAGTCAAATGTGGGCATTAGGCGGTAATAGCTGATGGGCAAGAGAGGTCATTGTTTTGTTCTTATCTGCTGGGTACTTTGGCCTTAAAATTCAATATATCTAGACTTTTATGTCTTTTCATTCTCACAATTGATGTCACCTTCAGGCTCTACAAACACATCTGTAAATGGATGCACACTGTTTCTGCAACAAGGAAAACACTTCCATTTCTACCAGGATACATTCATACATGGACTAAACACAAAACTTTGGCACCTCACTACTGGAAGAGAGGAAAGGAGAGGGAGAGGGAGAGAGAAACATCAATGATGAGAATCATTCATTGATCGGCTGCCTCCTGCACTGGGGATCGAGCCAGCATCCCGGGCATGTGCTCTGACCAGGAATCAACCTATGACCTCCTGGTTCATAGATCGATGCCCAACCACTTAGCCACCCCAGCCAGGTTGTTCCCTGTTGCTCCTCTGCAACTGTGAGAAATGCCTGGGCAGACCTGCTGAGGGAACAAGTGACACGTGGAAGACAGCCAAATCATCCTAGTCCAGCCAGACCACGGCCAAGTCACATCAGACATGTGCCTGTAGATGCAAGAGCCAGAGCAGTTGCACATGGCACAAACTAGCAGGGACACCCACCCACCGGCACTCATGAGAATGGATGGTGGTTGCTTTAAGCCTCCAAAGTCAAATGTGGGCATTAGGCGGTAATAGCTGATGGGCAAGAGAGGTCATTGTTTTGTTCTTATCTGCTGGGTACTTTGGCCTTAAAATTCAATATATCTAGACTTTTATGTCTTTTCATTCTCACAATTGATGTCACCTTCAGGCTCTACAAACACATCTGTAAATGGATGCACACTGTTTCTGCAACAAGGAAAACACTTCCATTTCTACCAGGATACATTCATACATGGACTAAACACAAAACTTTGGCACCTCACTACTGGAAGGAAACCAAGCTTATTCGAGGAGTTAGCAAACAGTCTCTCCCACCCCACCTCCAACCACTACCAACGACAGTAAATAAACTGAATCTAGAAGATATAAATCGGTAGGAGGTATAAAGCATATATATAAAAGCCTAAGTGACCGGCCGACCAGTAGCTATGATGCACACTGACCACCAGGGGGCAGATGCTCAACATATAGGCATGGAAACATGGAACACTGAAGAATCTCAGAGGGAAGGGGGAAGGTGGAGGGCAGGAAGAGATTAACCAAAGATCTTATATGCATACCAGAGGCCCGGTGTACAGATTCACCCACCGGTGGGGTCCCTCGGCCTGGCCTGCGGGGATCAGGCCAAAACCAGCAGTCCAACATCCCCCAAGGGGTCCCGGATTGTGAGAGGGCGCAGGCCAGGCTGAGGGACCCCACCGGTGCACAAATCCATGCACCAGGCCTCTAGTATATAATATAAATGATTCAATACCTAAAAAGGAAGAAAAAGAGTAAGAAACATTTCTAAACTCCATTTTAAAACTTATTTTCACTAATGCACTTGAGTTTGTGGTTTGGGGAGGTAGTATGGCTACTAGGAGTTCATGACTCAAGTCACATTCTAATGAGAACACCCCATTAGTGCTGATTATACCAACACAGTTAACCTTGCACAAGAGCCCTAGGAAAATGGGTGAAGAGGCTGCCTGTCAAGTATTACTGAAGTGATGAAATAAATGCAACTGTCTTTCTGTTTCATTTTGAGCAAATATATAACTTCGTTACCTTATCAATTTTTATCCAAAGAACAAAAAAAAAACTGTAGAACTCATAAAATTTCCTATGAGAAACTTTCCATATATTAGGAATCACCAACAGACCATCAACTTTCAGATATCACAGAGAATTTCTGCACCAAATTAACTATACTTTGCCATATTAATACAACCTGTGGCTTTTTAAAAACTTAACTATATTACCTCAAAACATTCAAATAAAACAATACTCCCACCTAGTGGATAAAAAAAAGCAACTGGCTTATTTCAGCCGTGAACAGCACCACCACAAAAAACAACTATAACTACAATGAATTTAAAATAAGTTTATTCTGTTTTTAATACCCTCAAAATACTCCTTGAAAAAAAGGAACCTATGAAACAGTGCTGCTGCTGCCCCCCAAGGAATAGACAGGTGACACAGGTGACAAAACCATCTGGAATCACGTGTAAATGTTACTCTGAATCTCATTTGTCATCACCAATTTCTTCAGTATCTCTGTGCTCTGGGGAATATTCTGAAAGGAGAGATAAAGATGTTATACAGTGAGGCTGAGAATTCAGTTAGAAGCGACATGCAACCCCAATCCCTGCACCGGCGCCCAACTGGAAAGGGCGCTGCCATTCATCTCCTTTCAAACAAAAGGTAAGTGGGTCACACATCTAAGGGTGTCCTCCTGTCACTCAAAACTCAGAGGAATCCCTGACCTCCGCAGGCCGCCTAAAGCCCTTAGGCGGACAGGACGCTCTAGCTTGGCCCATCTCCCCCCATGAGCTGACTTCCCTCTGCAGCCCAATACCTCGCTCACACCATTATCCTCAATGCTCCCTGAGCTTGCCCACTCTGAGCTCACACTGCTGCCCTGTGCGCTAGGATTCACTCACCTTTCAAATCCAGCTGAAGTGCCACATCCCTGGTGCAGCCTCTCCTAATGACCTCCCCTTCCCCTTGCCTGGCACACATAACGCCCACTGTTGGCCTGGCATGAAATACCTAAGAAACCAAAGGCCCTACTGGGGTGTACCACCTAGCACTGTGGGGTCCTCACAGTAGGCACTCAAGAGAATCCAGTATGTGGACCAAGTAGCACTTTTAGATCAAAGAGATTATGAATTCGGGATGCCTATATATACCAATTTTATGAATTCGGGATGACTATATGTGGTCACTAAGAAACCACCTTCAAAACAGCCACCTGGCTCACCCTCCCTCCCACAAATCTTTATGTTTAATGCAGAACTAAAAAGGTTTAAAAAGTTATTTAAGTTTCCTTTTCAAATAATATTTTAAAACCCAAAAGTTGACCTAAACACTGCATGACACGTGATTTACAGTTCTCAGAACAAGTCCAAAGTTCTGGAGTGCCTGTGCGCTGAGCACCGTACCACAATACAGACCAAACAGCCCAGCCCGGGAAGAGCCAATCAGTAAACCAAGAAGCACACAAAACTGTGAGCATATACCCCGAAAGAGATGCTCTATATAAGGTAGCTCAATTTGTCAGAAAGAGTACCCATTCCTCTAACGGATTTGGAAGACCCACAGTGGTCCCTCAGTATCTGCAGGGGATTGGTTCCAGGACCTCCCAGGCTACCAATGTCCTCGGATGCTCAAGTCCCTTACATGAAATGGAGAATAATGCAAAAAGTCGGCCCTGCCATCTGCGGAAACAGAACACTGACTGTACCTCAATTATACTTGAGTCTTAGTTTTACTCTTATTAATTCAACAAATGGTTACTGAGAGCCATCTTCTACATGCCATGCTTGTGACAAACTGGGAACACCAAAATGAAAAAACATGGCCTGTTTCCACAAAAAAATGGATGCACTAGGAAGCAAACTAATTATGAGACCTGTGAGATGAGCCGACACCAACACACCAGAAAAGTTGCCTTAACACGAATGGCCATTCTGAACAAAACAGGGCTGTGGAACAATGTTGTTATACCCTCATCCCTTTAAGGAAGCTGTTTTCAAATTGGGAGTCCATGGATTTTCAGCAAATCTCTTAGGAAGAGGAGGGGAGTTCCTAAACTACCTGAAATTGCAGGCAGGACTTTCTGTGTATACGTTCCATAGGTATTTTTCTGGGGAAGAGCCCACAGATATGTATACAAACTGAAAGCAGGGAACAGGTTTATCTCATCTTCACACATCTAGTCCCACACAAATTTAGGTGAATAAATGTTACAATAATTTGATCCATATGCCTCCTTAAAAACTACCGCCTTCCAAATTAATTCATTCTAAATTAATCAAATGCCTTCTCAAAATTTACCAACCTTCCAAATTAATTACAGTGGAGCCTTGACTTACGAGTTTAATTCGTTTCGTGACGGAGCTCGTAACTCAAATTACTCGTATGTCAAATCACTGTGACGTTCGCTGCACCAACTAGCGGTGGGGTATCTGAAGATGGCTCGTAACCCGAATTTTAGCTCGCAACTCAAAGCAAAAAATCGGCCAAGAGACGGCTCGTATCTCAAAAAAACTCATTAGTCGGGACACTCGTAAGTCAAGGCCCCACTGTAGTTAAAGAAACTTCTCGAATAGTAAAACCATCTTTCTGCACAGCCACCTGGGATTTAAATGCCTGGCACTGACCTATCACACACGAACAAGACATTCAAGTTACAGGGGGATATCTACAAGAGAGGGCGCCAATCAAATTCCAACCGCCAGGTGAGGAAGCTTTGAGAAAAAAGGATCTCAAAGTGCTACTTAAGTTATGAGTTGACACCACACATTTATGTTTGCTATTATGCCTGTTCATGATAGTAAGTCAGCTATTAAAGTCAATGAGTTAAATAAAGTCTTACCTTAACCAAACCTTTCAAGCTTCTGGAAGAAAGCACAGGCTTAAAAGCCTCAGCTGTAATGAGGTCTAATTTCATCACGTCAGTGTAACACAAGTACAGAATGGCAGGGATTTTCCATACTTGACAGTAGCTCAGAACTGAATAATCAAGAAAGGAAAAACGCTTAAGTTTTCCACTATAGTATTTTTAAATTAAACATCTCTAAATAAAGCCTTTAAAAATAGTTGTTTCTGTTGCCTCTTTTAATCAAAGCATTTACTGCCATTTTGAACTAATTATAATGCATATTTTTTCCAAAGCCAATTATTTTCCTAAGTATTCTCCTGCTTCTGCATATATTAATTTTTTAAATTCAATTTCTCAGTTACAGTTTACATTCAATAGTATTTTGTATTAGTTTCAGGTGCACAGATAGGCGAATATTGTTTATTTGCATTTCCTGAACATACTGCTAAAACACATTTTAAGTAGCTACAAGATTAAAATTTTGCTGACTATCCTAAACAAAGCAAATTAAATGTAAATAATAAATATATGAAGCATAGCCCTAACCGGTTTGGCTCAGTGGATAGAGCGTCGGCCTGCGGACTGAAGGGTCCCAGGTTCGATTCCAGTCAAGGGCATGTACCTTGGTTGCGGGCACATTCCCAGTAGGGGTTGTGCAGGAGGCAGCTGATCGATGTTTCTCTCTCATCGATGTTTCTAACTCTCTATCCCTCTCCCTTCCTCTCTGTAAAATATCAATAAAATATATTTTTTAAAAAAATATATATATGTGAAGCATAAAACTTTGAGCCATTTATTCTAATAAACTTAACATTGAGAGGAAAGAAAATCCTTTTATTAACTAGAGGCCTGGTGCATGAATTCGTGCGTGAGTGGGGTCCCTTGGCCTGGCCAGCAATTGAGACCTACTGGGGGGCCGGGCAGCCAGGGGCTCCCGCCAGTTGGGGGGGCCCGGCCAGCGGGTAAGGCCGTGGGCAGTTGGCCAGCCAGCCCCACCCCCAATCGGGTTGGGCAGGGCCAGCCAGGGGAGGGGCCACGGGAGGTTGGGGTAGGGGCCAATCTGGCCGTATCAGGCTGGTTGGCAGCCCCAGTATGAGTCATAGCGAATTAGCCTTTTATTATATAGGATAACAACTAACTGTATATAGTAACATTTACTACTGAAAAGTGACAATCTAATTTTGATATAGTAGTAACAGGAACAAAAATATTAAAATTATCAAGATTCAATATTTGAAACTATTATTTTGATAATTAAAACACACTTTACCAACTTTTCATATACCAACAATTTATATCTAACATTGGCTCACATGAGTTACCAAAGACCAAGAAACAGAGCAGCTCTGAAGGGCAACAGTTAAGAACTTGGAGCTGTTCTCATGTAACTGTGTGTGGAAAATTTTTAAATTTTTTTTTTAATATATTTTATTGATTTTTTACAGAGAGGAAGGGAGAGAGATAGAGAGTTAGAAACATCGATGAGAGAGAAACATCGACCAGCCGCCTCCTGCACATCTCCTACTGGGTATGTGCCCGCAACCCAGGTACATGCCCTTGACCGGAATCGAACCTGGGACCCTTCAGTCCGCAGGCCGACGCTCTATCCACTGAGCCAAACCGGTTTCGGCAAAAATTTTAAAATTTTAAAACTCAAAACGAACAGAATGTACTGGCAACTACAGATACTGAGGTTAAACAGCAATGCATTATTAATCATCATTAACAAACTACCTCAAAAAGATCTCACACTCAAAGGAATTACTACCAATAAAACAATACCAAGATGTAACGTAAAGGTTACGAACTTTAATACCACCTGCTGCAGGGAGGTCGTGTACGATGTTGGGTTGTTCCAGCAGTGAGCAGCATGGAGGCTCTTTGGAATTCTGTGTTTTTAGGGCTTTCAGGAAAGGGGAATGAAGGCTGCTGGTAGATTCTGAAGTCTTATAGTCAGTAACGTGTCGACAGGTGAGAATAGTTACTTGCATATTCTTCTTTGGACAAGAGCCAAAAACCTAACACATAATTGATTTCAAATTAATATATATTAATATATGAAATCAATAAAAATAATAATAATAATATCTAACTGCCCAAATTATGATTATTCTCTAAAATTCCTAGCTGAGTTAAAGTATTCACTGAAAAATCTGTATTATTGGGCACATACTATGTGCACAACTTTCCCACAAAATGAAACCTCAATCAATCCATCATAATGCTAAGAACAATGGGTATAATATTCTGGGGTCTGGAGTGAGTGGCAGCTGAGTGCCAGTCCCCTGACTCCCACCCCAAGCATTGCCAGCACGGACGCTTTTACCAGTGGCCGTGTCCTGTTCTGTTTCTTGCCTGTAGCTTTTGTTTCTGTCAAACAAAATAATGATGTGGATGGGAAGAATTCAATTAGTTTTATGCCTCTGCGACCTACAATCTTTAGCACAATGCTAATTATGTTTGTTAAATAAGTCCTTTTATTCTTTACATTCTCTTAACAACTTACTACAACATTTTAAGGGAAAAACCCAAACACGTTCCCCACTTCAATATCTGACTATGTGGGTTACGTGTGAAGACACTAAACCCTTACCTAATGGCATCGCTCACCTTTTCCAGCCACTGATACTGCTGATCTTCAGCAACGTAGCAACTGCACTGGCAAAGGAAAACCTGAAAAGCCAAATCCCAAGTTTTAGAGTCAAATAAATTTTATGTGCACCCCCGACTGTCACCAGATACATATCGTGAATATCCTAATGCAACGCTTAGATATCACTGATTTTTCTCAATTTGCTAATGGCTTATTTTGCTTTACAATTTTAAATTGAAGAATCAATCTACTACTGGTGATTAATATCAGAATAAAATGCACACTGACTGGGCGGCAGCATATGAGGTACTGCAGATGCTCCCAGTGAAGACCCCCAGAACGCATAAACACAGGGAGGTACCAGCCCTGCTGCCCCTGTGGGCCCCCTGTGAAGGCCAGGCTCAAATCAGTCCTCGGTGGCATGTAAGCACCAACTCAACAGTAGGTCCAGCTGGACCTCAGCCCACCGATATCCCGAAGCGCGGCTGATGCCTGTGAGGACGGTGTTAGTTTAGAAACCCAGTTGCAGACCATAAGCTCCAGGTGAGATAACCTGCCACAAGGCCATGAAAGGATGAGATTCCTGGTTATAAAAGCTCACAGAACAATACTATCCACAGAAATCAACCATATCGTCTCTAAAATATTGCCAGATATGCTAACTGCACAAAGCAAGTATAAGAGGGGAATAGGGACCCCAAGATAGGGGAGAACAAAATGACTGGATATATATTTAGCTGCCTGTACACGTAAGTTCTAAATAATCAAAAGATATCTAACCGCCGAAACCAGTTTGGCTCAGTGGATGGAGCGTCGGTCTGCGGACTGAAGGGTCCCAGGTTCAATTCCGGTCAGGGGCATGTACCTGGGTTGCGGGCGCATCCCCAGTAGGAGATGTGCAGGAAGCAGCTGATCGATGTTTCTCTCTCATCGATGTTTCTGACTATCTCTCTCCCTTCCTCTCTGTAAAAAATCAATAAAATACATATTTTAAAAAAAAAAAGATATCTAACCAATAAATGGTAAAACTAGATGCAATAATAAAAATTTCTCCTACTTGACCGTCACTGTCTATTCTAAAGTGAAACTTTTCCACTAAGGATCAGATAAAGTTTCCTGATGCTTAGCTTCCTGAGTAATCCTATATAATAAAAGCCTAATATGCTGTGTCTGACCGTTCGTTCGCCCTGTCACTATGACATGCACTGACCACCAGGGGACAGACGCTCCAACCAGTAGGTTAGCTTGCTGCTGGGGTCCGGCCGATCAGGACTGGGCAAGACAGGCCGGACATGCTCTGGAGCCCTCCCACAGTCCCTCCCTGGCCCCAATTGTGCACCGGTGGGATCCCTTGGCCTGGCCTGTGCCCTCTGGCAATCCGGGACCCCTCAGGGAATGTCGGAGAGCCGGTTTCAGCCTGATCCCCACAGGCCAGGCTGAGGGACCCCACCGGTGCAGGAATCTGTGCACCGGGCCTCTAGTTTCCTATAAACACTGAATATTTTATAAAAATCCTTACAAAATTTCAGTAACTTTGGAGTGCATGCTATAGAAACAAACTGTATTATAAAATCTAATTCTACAGTTTTGGGGGCTAACACTTGGTCCTTACCATTTGAAATAAGCAACATTATAATATTACAGAATTACTGACTTCTTCCAATGTCTGAATCCCTGCCCCTGCCTTTGTTCAAGGCGGGGGGGGGGGGGGGGGGGGAGGGGGGTTGGAACTCTGCCAGACAAGCAGATGGGCAGACATCACCTGTGTGGCCACCTCACCTCCCTGACTTGTCTCCCAGACTGCCCAGCACACTGAGTTCTCTAAATGAATGCAAGAGTAGAATTAGGACAAACACAATCCAAAGAAATCACTCAACATCGGCTACAGAATGTCTTTTCTGACTTAAAAATCAGGACAAATTAGGTTAGGATGAAAGCCTGGTGTCACCAGAACTGTATTTAGGATGCATAAAGCACTCATCTGTTCAGCAGACATTAGCTGAGTTTCCAGCATGTACCAGGCACTGGCTAAATACTGGCCTACACAGCAACAAAGCAGAACTCCCGGCTTTGACAGAATGGACATTTTTGCACGTCTGGAGTCGCCAACTGAAGTAATCTTTTCATTGAGGGCAACACTTAAATACCTAATGTTTATGGTTTGTTTCTAACAAAGTTATATCAGAATTTCCTAAGAACTTTACCAAGAGTGTATAAACAACAGTGGTTACTACCCTACCTCAGCCCAAAGTAGACACAGAGGAACATGGAATTCAAATGAACACTACATAAACGATGCCTACACAACTACTACTTTCTGTTGTTGTCAGTCCTCACCCAAGGATATCTTTCCATTGATTTTTTTTTTTTTTTTTAGAGAGAGAAAGGAAGGGAGGGAGAGAGACGTGGATTGGTTGCCTCCCACACAGGCCCTGCAACCAGGTACATGCCCTTGGCTGGAATGGAAACCTTCAGTCCGCAGTCCGACGCTCTCGGCTACACAACAACTTCTTAAACACACAAGGTTAGTCCCACATACCGAGGGGTTTGACTTTAGATGATAAAACACGCAAAAAGCCTCTGCGGGGGATAAATGTGCAGCGTCCGTTGTTCTGCACCATTCATTCCAGAGTTTAGCGCAGCCGACTTCTTCCCAGACTCCTGAATTCATAACAAATGACGACAAAAATGCTGTAAAAACAATTCACAGGAGTTAGTATTTGGCTCTGCAGGTTGCATTTTCTAGTCAATAAAAATAAATTCATTCAAGTTACTCTAGAATTTTAGAGCTAAAGGGGCCATTGTAGGCCATCAACTTTACACTAGCATTTAGCAGAAAAGGAAACGGAGGCCGTAAGAAGTAAAAGGCCACGCCCTGAGTACAGATGGGATCAGAGCCAGGAGCTGAAAAGGGTTACTGACCCACTTTACTATGCTCTCACGGGCAACACTTACCTGGAAAGTTGTAGCCAGTAGAACTTGAACATAAATGAGTCGGTAGTTATTTACCTTGTACTTGCTCTGCGAACACTAGGGCTAACTTATAGGACAAAGATCTGGACTGGAATCCCAAATGCTCTCCTTGAGCCAAAGAAGCCCCTAAAATTATACAGGTTTGCACATGCACGTGCATATTGTCCTAGCTGAACCCTGCACTGTTCTAACTTTAACTTCTCAAATGGATTCATTTATGTAAAGACCTTAGAACTTAAGTACTCAAAATGTTAGTGATTACTGTTATTTCTAGAGCTCTCATTATGTTCTTAAAGGAGCCTGTTAACTGAAAAGCATTTAAGAACCACTGCTACAAGGGGGTCCTATACACATGCCCCCTCTGCCCCTCCAGGTCTGGTCAAAACAGGCCCTGGAACTTATGGAATCCCAGAGCCCTGAACACACTGGAACCAATTCCTTGAGTTTTCGAGTCCCTAAAGCCAAGAACATTTCCTTTAAATCATATTTTTTAAGCTGGTCAAAAAGACAGTGACACATGAATGACAGATTTTACTTGAATACAAGTTATTCTCTTATGAGTTTTTCTTAAAAAATAACGAACATTTGACATCTTTTCTGACAAAAATAAATCAGTAAGTTGAGTTTTTATTCTTTCAACAAAATGTCTAGTCTAATGCACTTCCACTCACCTACTGCATTGTTTCCAACAGCAATTATAAACTTGGAGCAAGGATATTTTTCCAGCAGAGAAACTTCCAAAGATGTTTTTGTTTGTCTTCGAAAGAGCCGCACCTCCCTAACACAAGAAACAAAAGATGAAACTAAAGCAGCTTACATATAAAGAGTGCCTTGTTATGATAAAAAACACTTACTAGAAGTATGATTTTTGTATGAAGCAACAGACCTGTTTTGGTTTTATAAAGAACATAATTATAACCCTCAGGAAACAATGGAATCGGCGATGACAACAGAGAAAACCATCCCACACCAAGTTCCTGGAGAACTAGACCCCAGAGATCAGGCT